TTTCAGGAGGAAGGAGGATGTCTGGGTTAATGGATTACACCTGGGGACGATCTGAGGAGGTTGTCACTATTATTCCTTGAACAATAATCCGGAATTTGCCAATCTACTTTGAGTGAATTCCTTGGGCAGATTGTCTCCAGAGCCTCTTTGCAGAATCCCAGCAAACCTGCCTTTTGAACTTTTATGGCCTCGGCTTTAGAAGAGGTTTTTGTTTTCATATTTGTCCATGGGTATCCAGGGCTCATGCATTAAGTTAATATCAAACATAACTGAATAATTTGATAAAGAACAGTTTGGACATGCTTGCCAGGTGGCCAGAGTTTGTTCCTCAGAGAGATTTGTTCCCAGGACCCTACGCACTGCCAACACAGTGGAGACATTAAGAGAGGCACATAAGAAACCATTTTCTCAGAAGCTACAATTACTGGAGTTAGAAGCATAGAATGAATAATAAGACCAAAGAATATTATACAGAGGTAGCCCACGAGTGAGTTCGTAAAAGCCTATTAACCTGGGACGTCAGGAGGTCACTTCCTTGGCTCTCAGGGTCCCTGGCTAGCAATCCTGAGTGGGGCCTTCATGTTGGATTTTCATCCATGACACAGGGCCTCAGCATCTCAGTGCTTGCGGTCCCCAACATGTCGCTATGAGTCAGAATCGACTCAACAGCACTTAACAACAACAACTATTTATTTATTTATTTATTATAATTCTGTTTATTGTATTCAGGTAACCTTTCTTTATTTATTTATTTCCTGAAGTAAAGACTTTAGTATCTCTATTTTTTCTTTGACTATTTCCTGAAGTGAGAAAAGAATTTATGACCGCTCTCTTTTTCTTTTAACTACTTCCTGGAGTAAAGAATTTATGATTACTCTCTTTTTCATTTCCTAAAGTAGGAATGCTCTGGTAGAGTAGTAGTTACTAATTGGGCTGCAAACCTCAGGGTCAGCAGTTCGAAGCTACCAGCTGTTCCATGGGAGAAAGATGAAGCTTTCTGCTCCTGTAAAGATTTACAGCTTCGGAAACCCTGTACAGGGTCGCTGTGAGTCGGAACCGACTCCACAGCACATAACAACAACAAAGTAGGAATGCACGCCTTAAAAATTTGAACTAGCCAACTGGGTAAGGGAAAAGGTTGTGCAGTCAAAACCCTAGCCAGTGGGGTGAGACACAGCCTTGAGACTCCTGTCAAGGATTAAAAACCTGAGTGGACTGCCCACTCAGTGTGTTCACTGGCCTGTTCCTGTCAGTACGGCTATGTGCACGCATCCTCTTGCAAGAGTAAATTTTGCTGTGCCAAGGTAATTTAGTCTCACAGAGTGTCTTTTATGCAATTTCGGGATTCATATCTAACAGAAGGGAGGAAAGAAATTTGCTCTAGGGCTAGGAACTTTAAATAAGAAAGCAGCCATTAAGACCATGGGCAAACCATTTTGGCTTCTCTGGAGGGGAGGGAAAATGGGACATGCCATAGAATTGTATATGGGGAACTGGAACTGGAGGAGGGGATTTTTGGAGACGGGAATAAAAACTGTTTGTGGTCTGCCATGTGGCATATCTGCCCGTGTCTACTGGATTGGGTACCAGATTTTGCAAAAATTGAATAAAGAAAACCTCACTCTCGCTAAAATGAGTACAGATTGGATTACTTGAGCATTTGTCAGTATATACAATGTTTCTCACAGATATCATTAAAAATAAAACTATTGACCAGTTTCTTTATTTAGATATGAAAATCTTGAAAAACATCCTGGGAAACCAAATCTACCAATGTATAAAGGATATTATACACAATTTTAAAGTAGTATTTATCCTAGGAATACAAGGTTGGTTCAACATCTGAAAATCAATCAATGTAATATCAATAGATGAAGTGGCAAAAATCATATGATCATCTCAAGAGATGCAGAAATAGCATTTGACAAAAGCACTTAATCCTTTCATGATAAAAACACTCAACAAACTAGGAATAGAATGGAATTTCCTCAACCTGATAAAATGTATCTATAAAAACTCACTGCTGACATCATACTTACTTGAGTGGCACTGCACCATCCCCCACCCATAATATCAGAACATGAAAAGCATGTTCTCTTTTGTCACTTATATTTAGCATTTTACTAGAGTTTCTAGCCCGGGAAATTAGACTAGAAAAAAAGGAAAACAAAAGTGCACCCAGATCAGAAAGAAAAAGTGAAACAATCTCAATTTTCAGGTGACTTGATCTTATGTGTTGTTGTTGCTGTTAGGTGCCATCAAGTCAGTACCTACTCATAGCAACCCTATGCACAACAGAATGAAACGCTTACCAGTCCGAGACCAACCTCACAATCATTGCTACGACTGAGCCCATTGCTGCTTCCACTGTACCAATCCATCTCCCTGGGGGTCTTCCTCTTTTTCTCTGACCCTCCACTTTACCAAATATGATATCCTTCTCCAGTGACTGGTCCCACCTGATAAAATGTCTGAAATATGAAAGACGAAGTCTGGCCATCCTGGCTTCCAAGTAGCACTCTGGCTGTACTTCTTCCAACACAGATCTGTTTGCTCTTAATTGAAGAATACAAGATCAGCACAAAAATCAATTGTATTCTATACACCAACAATGAACAATCTGGGAATGAAACAAAGAAAACAATTCAGTTTATAACAGCACCAAAAAAAATAAATAAAATGCTTAGGTACAGCTAGTGGATTTGACCAACCAACCTATCAGTTAGCAGCCAACTGCTTTAACCACTGTGCCACTGGGACACCTCTATTCTACACACCATCAAAGAACAATCTGGAAGTGAAAATAAAAAGAAAAACAAACAAACAAACAAAAAAAACAATTCCCTTTACAACAGCATCAAAGGAACAAAATACTTAAGAATACATTTAACAAAATAAGCATAAAACTTGCACACTGAAAATTATACAGCACTGCTAGTGTTGTAGCAGTTTTAGATTCGAAAATGTCATGGCAGCTCTTGATCTGTCATCAAAGAAACTGAGGCCACTGTGAGAGGTGAAGCAGAGTTTCAGATTTTATTAAGCCAGCTGGGCTCAGAAGAGCTAATTTCTCCAGATTCTAAGCCCAGGATATAGGGCAGTGTAGACTTATATGGGGTCAAAATAGGGGAGGGGTTAAGTTGTAGACCTGTTTAAAGACAGGAGGAAACCAGAGGATAGGTGCCATTCAGTAACCTGATTAACATTCTAGTTTGACTCCTGGGCGTAGAGGATTGGTCCCACTTAGTAACCTGATTAATATTTTAGCTTGTCTCCTGGGCAGAGAGAGCTGTGAATGTTTTTACCTTTTCCTGTTCACTAGAACATATTAAAGAAGACATACCTAAATGGACCATCAACCATCTGCCAGTTTGTTGTACTGTAGTGACTTATATGTGGCTATGATAATGGAGTCCTGGTGTGACTCTGTGGACTAATGCATCAGACTGCAAAGTCATTTGAACTGCAAGGTCGGTGGTTCAAGCTCACCAGCTGCTCCTTGGAAATCCTACACAGGGTCACTATGGGTCAGAATCAACTCGATGACACTGCACAATAGCAGCACATGATAGTGGAAGTTATCACCACTCATATTTCAAATATCAGCAGGGTCACATATGATAGACAGATTTCAGCAGAACTTCCAAACTAAAACAGACTAAGAAGAAAGGCCTGGCAGTTTACTTTATCAATGAAAGACTTATAGTTACAATATAATATTGTCCAATAGTGCTGGAAGATGAGCCCCCTTTGTTAAAAGGCACCATAAAATAGGCATACCAATACACTCAAACATACTCATTGATAATGAAAATGTCACAGGACTTGGCAACATTTTGTTTCATTAATAAGGTCATCATAAATCAGAGCTGAGTGGATGGCAGATAATAACAATGACAACGAATAAGTAGAAAGACATCTCATGTTCATGGATTGGATAGCTTAGTATTGCTAATATGGTACTACTAACTAATCACCACACGATTTCTATCAAAAAAGGAAAGAACAGAACAGTCATTATTGTGTATATTAAAAAAATCCTCCATATATAAACTTGTATTTTGCATAAAGTCTAGAAGGATACGCACGCGTGCACGTGTGTGTGTGCTCATACAAAAAAAAACTAATTAAAGCTTTTCATATGCTATTGGTTGAGTTGGAAGTTGATAAATAGGAGACAGATTAGTAGCTTTGGTTTTTGCTTGTTCTACATTGTACATTATCAAAATTAAATAGATGAATGAATGTATAAAACAGGTTTGGAAGTAGGGTGAGGCAGAAGTATCAATTCTGCCAACCCACAAACCTGTAGTGCAGACAATGCTGAATTCACATTATCAGACCAGAAGCATTTAATTCATAAACTCAAAAAATCAGCCCTTTGTGGAGTAATACCTGATAAGATGCATGATTTCCCATTACACTGGATCCAGAGACTATGAATAAAACTGATCAAGACAGGAGTTGTGAAGAAGAAAGGAAGCCTGCAAGTCTTTAAACTTCTTTATCATCATCCCAAGACAGGGCTCTCCCTGGATGTGGTAGCTCCAGTTCGCTTTCTCCTCACTGCTAATATAAAGAGAGAAGGGACCCGGAAGAGGCAAAAGCAATGATCTATTGATGATCTTGCTACTCAAAAGAACAGAAACAGTGGAGAGAGAAGGAGAAAAACATGAAGGTGGATGTAGGAGTTCCCACTTACCCTGTAACTTTGGTTACCAAAGGGCAGTAGATATGCTTTTAGGCAGAATGAAGTTAAATCAATGCTTCTTTGTCCTTGATCTAAGTTAAATTTGTTCAGATTTCAGAGTCCAGATTGCAAAATGGGAAAACTTTTGTTCAGTTCATTGCATTTTAAAGGGATAAGGACTTTCCTGAGTCTATATCATCTTTATATAAGAAACTTAAATAGTCCTACTTCCCCTTCTCCACCTTTTCAACCCATGTATCTTTCTAAAGTGAATGAATTATTAACTATCACTGCTTAATTGCTTTTAGAGATGGACCCCTGCGCAGGTGGGAATGGATGTGCCCACATCTGTCAGAGTGAGAGTGGGATGGCCAGGTGTGCCTGCCACCCGGGGTACCAGCTGCTTGAAGACAAAAAGGCCTGTGGAGGTAGGAAGTTAAAGCTGATGGCTTAATTATGTAATTGTTTGAAATTTTGTGGTATTTCCATTTTGAATAGTCAGTACAGGTAGGAAGTTAGGTGTTTTCATTCTTACTGTAAAAAGAACATTTAAATTTTTATTTGATCATTTTGAAATGTATTTTTATAGTACTATAAAACTCAGGGAAATTCTTAGTTACATTTTTTTTTAATGGTCTGGTATAGTTTCAGAATTTATGCTCTTTGTTTTCTATTTCTCATTCTGCAGTGAATTCCATAATTAATATTTAAAACCTCCCATAACCACACAGGGAGTTTTTCATTATAGGATACAGAAAGTGGAGATAACCTTTGAAAAGGAAAATATGTACAAATAAGTGTTCTCAGAAGTTAAGAATAATTCAAATAAAAAAGAAACTCTTTAAATATAAGGTTACACATTTCCATCTCCTAGATATAGCAAAACAGGCATACTTCAATTCAGAGATGAAAGTGACAAATCATTCCAAGAACAGGACTGATAAATGAAGTCAGTCCTACAGGACAATCTTTGTTTTAATAAGTTTTGAGAAATCACAAATCTTTTCTTTTTTATCATGACATTTTCATGAAATGAGAAGTAGTTTATTTGGATCAATTATGAGAATACATAAATGTTCCTCACTTGGGGGACTGATAAACATTTTGAGAAATTGAAAGAGAATTAGACATGAAAATTGGTTTAATTTTTTTTCTTTAAACCAAAGCTAAAATAAAAATTTCAATGGATTATATTTTTCTATGAATTCTATTAACATACACAGAGCCTAGACATGCTTTTGTTTCCTGTTTCTAGAGTGCCTAATTTGTATACACTCAGCTATATCACTGGGTGGCACCAAAGATTTGACACTGTAGGATAAACACTGGAAAGGGTTGCACAGTCAGCAGTTCAAACCCACCAGCTGCTCTGAAAGAGAAATGTGAGGCTTTCTGCAAACATCCAATCATGATCAGAACATGGAATGTACAAAATGAATCAAGGAAAATTGAAAGTTGTCAAACATGAAATGGAACATATAAGATAGATATCCTAGGCATTAGTGAGCTGATACGGACTATTATTGGCCATTTTGAATCTGACAACCATAAGGTTTACTATGCCCAGAATAAGGAACTCTGTTAGCATAGTGATCTCAAGTTGGGCTGCTAACCTCAAGGCCAGCAGTTTGAAAGTCAGCCATTCCGTGAGAAAGATGAGGCTTTCTGCTCCTGTAAAGATTTATAGCCTCAGAAACCCTATTCAGGATCAGTGTGAGTCAGAATCATCTCCATGGCATGGCACACAACTACCATGTTAGAAATGCCAAATTGTAAACACATAGCATTGTATTCACTACTGGTGTGTACACTAGACTGCGAGCCACAGGTAGGCAGTTCAAACCCAAGAGCTGCTATACAGCATTGCTATGAGTCAGAACCTACCAATGGCACTTAACAACAATAATAACAATGCCAAATAGAGCATTACAAGATCTATCTTGAAGTACAATGCTGTCTGTGATGGAATAATATCCATACGCCTATAAGGAAGACGAAGGAGCTCTGGTAGCGTAGTGGTTACGAATCGGGCTGCGAACCTTAAGGTCAGCGGTTCGAAACTACCAGCCGCTCCACGGGAGAAAGATGAGGCTTTCTACTCCCGTAAGGATTTACACCCTCGGAAACCCTGTACAGGGTCGCTATGGGTCGGAACCGACTCGACGGCACTTAACAAACAAACAAAAAAATAAGGAAGACGAGTTAATAGGACTATTATTCAAGTTTACACACCAAACACTAAAGCCAGTGATGAGGAAATTGAAGAATTCTACCAACTTCTTCAGTCTGAAATTGAGCAAGCATGCAATCAAGATAAATTAATAATTGCTAGTGATTGGAATGCAAAAGTTAGAGACAAAAAAGATCCATTTGCCTTGGAAATATTGCCTTGATAATAGAAATTATACTGGCGATCTCATGATAGAATTTTGTGAAACCAATGATTTATTCATTGCAAATACCATTTTTCAACAACATAAAAGATGACTATATGTGTGGACCTCCCTAGAAGTATGATTTTTGTCACAGAAACCATAATTAAACAAAAATATCAAGATGGAAGCTATTCAGTGAAACCAGAGATGGAGGCAGAGACAATGACATGGAGAGATGGAGTGGCTGGGGACTCTAGACCCAGAGAGGGAAAGGGGCTCTGTGCTGACGACCAGAGGGGATAGGCTTGTAGGGTAGACCCTTTGGTTGTTTGATTATATATTACTGATTGCTTTGGTGTACATCCAAAAAAAGACTCAGAGGGAACAGAAGCAAATGCTGTTGAATGATAATGCATGGAAGGGATTATAGTCATTGCAATGAAATGAAACACAATAGCTGATGTTCTTCTGTGTAAACTATCACTCAATTCACAATAAAAACTAAAAAAAAAAAAAAAAGGAAGCTATTGTTTATTGTCATATTCTCCATCTAGGTCTTACACTTCTAAAGTCAGGTTTTCCATCTCTCTAATCATTCCCTCAAGGAGCTCTGGTAGCTCTGGTAGTGGTTACGAGTCAAGCTGCCAACCTCAAGGACAGCAGTTCAAAACTACCAGCTGTTCCACGGGAGAAAGATGAAGCTTTTTGCTCCCGTAAATATTTGTAGCGTTGGAAACCCTGTATAGGGTAGCTATGAGTCGGAACCAACTCCACGGCACATAACAACAACAACAACAACCATTCCCTGAAGAAAGCTGGGCTATTTGATTCATTTTATATAAATACAACAGTTTGGGCATACTTAAATTCTTTTCACTTTAATTTTTGTTAAGTTTTATGAACAAAATGAAGTTTGAAGGGATAGGATCAGAGCTGTAGGTTGAATGGAGTAAGTTTCCTAATGAAATTTTCCTAACACAACCATTGCTATCCTCAAAGTATGAGTATACACATTGTTGTGATGGGAAAAAAATTTCCTTGGCACAACTTTTCTGACCTTTTTCTCAAAAACAGTCTTCAATTATCTTGAAACTTTTTTCCTAATAAGCTCCTGTGATTATCCTATATTTTTAAAGAAAACATATTTACATTATTCCTTTGGAATACCAAAAAACAGTCTCCATAGCCTTCTGAGTTGACTCTGCCTTGAATATAATTAGCCCAGAAGATCCTCTCTAATGAGACTAAGACAAGTGTGTTATTGAGATAACTGGTCTGTAGCTATCCACCAATCACAGAGATATATTTAAACACATTTTGTTTAAATAAACCATGCATGTGTTAACGGGAACCCTAGTAGCAACACTTTTTGACTTAAACTTGTGTGTGTGTGTGTGTGTGTGTGTGTGTGTGTGTGTGTAGCTAAATAAATAACAGAGAGAGTGTATATATGTATATTCACACACTTACATACTATTGTTGTTGTTAAGTGCTGTTGAGTCAGTTCTGACTTATAGCGACCTTGTATAGGGTTTCTGAGGAGCAGCCGGTGGGTTTGAACTGCTGACCTTGTGGCTTGAAGTTCAGTGCTGATCCTATAGCACCACATCAGGGAGTTTTAAAAGTTCATGGAAAATGGAATTAAAAGATGCTGGATTTTTTCAATGAACTTTTTGAAGCTTCATCATATTGACATGTTGTGTCTCTTTCTCTCTCTCTATATATAGATATGTTATCGCTTTGTTAAGTGTTATCGAGTCCATTCCAATTCATAGTGACACTGTATAGGGTTTCCAAGGAATGGCTGGTGAATTTGAACTGCCTACCTTGCCGTTCAAACTGACCTTTCAGTCCAGTGCATTATCCCACAGCACCACACCAGGATACAAGGATTCTTTATATAGATATACGTTGTTGTTAAGTGCCATCAAGTCGGTTCTGACCCATAGCAACCCTATATAGGGTTTCTGAGGAGCAGCTGGTGAGCTTGAACTGCCAACCTTGTAGTTCACATGGCTCTGCAGTCTGACACATTAACCCACAGTGCCACACCAGGACTCCCACATATATACTTAGTTGTTGTTGTTAAGTGGCATCAAGTCGGTTCTGACTCATAGTAACCCTCTATAAGGTTTTTGAGGCTTTAAATCTTCATAGAAGCAGAAAGCCTTATCTTTCTCTTGATACACACACACACACACACACACATATATATTTTTTTTTCTCATTTGAATTTGAAATCTGATTGCCTAGAAAGTCTATCCCTAAACTTGTTACTTACTTAGGATTTTATAAACACATTAAAAGGAAGTGCTAATGGTAGGAAAGATGATAAAACCTACCCATTTTAAGAAAGTAGTCAAGATTACGTTGGCCACAACACTGAAGTCGTGTTGATTAGAAATGGATGTTGATGTAAGGTGAGAGAGAGGGTGCCAATGTTTAGATGGCACAGTCCTGTGATAGTCACACATACACCACAAATGAAACCACAAAACGTGTCTGTCTTGTCCTGTGGCTGCATTTACTGTTTATCATAAATCAGGGAGAATGTGATGTATATTCTTACAGACAAATTGCGGTTATGTCTACCTATATAACTAAGGGATCCAAAAACCAAACAACACAAACCCACTGCAGGTGAGTTTGTTCCTACTCCTCGAGATCCTATATAGGATTTCTGAAACTACAAATCTTTGTGGGAACATACAGCCTCATCTTTCTCCTGTGGATTTGAACCACTGACCAGGTCAAACCTAGCCCACAGGGCCACCAGGTTTCCTTATGTTGTGACTGAGTGCTGTCAAGTCGGTTCCAACTCATAGTAACCCTGTATAGCCCAGGATTGGCTGGTGGATTTGAACTTCTGACTTGCAGTTAGCAGTCCAGTGCTTATCCTACAGTGCCACATAAGGACTCTACCAGGCTTCCTTAAAGTAAGGATTATTTATTTTTCTGTTTTGTCTTCTCTTTTTCCCAACTAACAGATACTGGTAGGTTCTAATAGAAAAAGTGTTTGAGATTCCAAGACCAACACTGTAAATTTAATGTTATAAACAGTTAATTTATCTGCAAATGCCCCTTTGCAAACAAAGAAGTTGGAGACCATGCAAAACTCTACTGCTGCACTGACAATGTAACAGTAATGCCATGGTTCTTTTCCATCATTTTAAAAAGTGAAGTCTTAATTAGCACTCAAAAATATAGCTAATGTGTATCTCCTTTTGTAGATATAAATGAATGTGCTGAAGGGATTGCACACTGTGGCCATCGCTGTGTGAACACCATGGGATCATTCACTTGTGCCTGCCATCCTGGCTTTGAGCTGGGAGCTGATGGAAAACAATGTTACAGTAAGTGGTGACAATCACAGCCTAGCAAATGTATGGTGTGGCAGTTTGCAAGTATTAAACAAAAGCACATCACTGAATAGCTTCCAAAGCAAAAGCTCCTATGAATATTTGCCACCTGGTGGGTGAGAGAGGGCTTAGATGTCCAGCCATCTTGTTTTATAGATAGGGAAAAGAGGCCAAATTTAATAGAACATTATTTGCTTAATGTCCTGCAGTGTAAAAGGCGAGGGATATGTCTCAGTTCTTTTGGCTTGGGGTTTGTTAAGCCCCACTGCTTTTCTTCTAAAGAGTTGGCCTTCCTTTATCCTCTCTGCCATTCAACACTTATTGATCACAATAACCTCAATATAAAACTCAAGGAAAGGTAACTAACAGGAATGAAGGAACAATCAGTACACAAAGCAGTTATAGACTGTAACACATCTGCCACCTATTGTATGCACTAATGACTATCGTCTAGTAGTAGGTCCTTCTTTCTTTCCATTTCCATTCACGATGCAACTTTAAGCAACTCCATTCTACTTTGCATTCTCTTTCATTGATTCACCCACTACACATTTCCTTCAAATGTTATAAACCATGTTTCCTCAGATACTTCCTCACCAAGGCTCAGGGGTTTTCCAAAAGTTTATGCAAACATGGAATTAACAGCTAACAGTAAAACTATAAACTTTATTTCTCAATATAAGCTCCATCAGAGTCAAGATGCATTTGTCAGTGATGATGATGTCTATTGTGTTGACTATTGTTTCTGCTGCTAATTGTTGGTCCTTTTCATCATGGACAAGATTGTTTCCTCCCAAATAAATGTGAATGGTCTGCCACTGTGGGCTTCAAGTTCAACATCATCTTCTCTCCGTTAAAATGAGTTATCCATTTGTAAACTACATATTTCTTTGGAGCATTGCCCCCATAAAACTTTTCATAAGCATTAATGATTTCACCACTCTTCCATCCAACCTTAACCATCAATATGATGTTGTTTTTGTTTTAATTTTAGTAGAATTCATTTTACTCTGATAGGTGTTCTTTTCTGACTGATGCCTTATCTTTCTTAATGCCTCAAAGCAGACACTGTTCATACATTTACAACAAGTTAGTGTGAGTTTATTTTGGTGCAAACAATTGAAATCTAATACTGCTTTGTCATGTTTTTCACAATACACATTTCCATGAACTTTTTGAAGACCATCTCATACAGATTACTATGTCCCTTGATAATGGCTCTTATTTAAAAATACCTTGAGCAGTATCTCCTATATTTAAAACACCCTCACATAAGCCCCAGTCACACTCCCGCAATATATATATTAGCACTATTACCAATATCTTCGCTTTCTCACCTTGTGTTCTTTTATTAGCCCACAATTATCTGGTTTCTATCTCCACCCATCCACTGGTGACTCATGACCTCTATGCTGCCAGATTGATAACAACACCTCTAGCTCACCCCCTACATTCTTGTTAGAACACGTTCTTCTCTTCCATTTTACTAAACTTTCCTGAGTTTCCTCTCCAGCTCTGTCCCCTCTCTTTCAATAAGTACATCTTTATTTTAACCCTTTCCTTTAACTACATGTTAAAATGTCAAACTATCTACTCAACATCTCTGCTTGTGTGACTGATAGGCATTGCAAACTTAATAGGTCCAAAACATACCTACTGGTGTCTGGCCTGAATTCAAAGAAACCCTTCCCATTTCTTCACAACTTAGAAATGGCAACACTGTCAATTCAGTGCTGAAGCCTAAAATCCAGTAATACAGAATTAGAATTTGATTGAGGAAGGACTTGAATTGAGATGTTTTGTCTCCAAATATAGTATTATGTGTGTGTGTGTGTGTGTGTGTTGTATGGTTATTTATTACTCTTACTCAGGAAGAAGAATAAAGATAATTATCTGATTGCCTCATGAAGAGATATCCTTAGGGTTACTAAGTTCCTCATTGTCTTCCCTTCAGTAAAACTCTACATTTTTTTAATGGTTCATTTTCCAGTGTAGCCTTAAGATTTGTTGGTATATTTTTACTGCTTAAAGACAGTGAAAATAACCTGTGAGGTTTTGCTACAGTGATATTTGCCTTTTAAAGAGCAAACTAAATAAGATGGGAAAGAAGAATTAACTAATAATTAGGATACAGCTTCTTCTGAAGTCAGTCTTTCTCTAAATGCCCTGAGGAATCCTTTTAGGCATAGAGAAATGTGGACTTTTTTTTTTTTTTTCCTTTTTATTCTTATCAATAATTTAGCTTTTTAATGTGGCCAGAGGTTTAGTGAATGAGCACATTTGACAAATGTATGAAATAAAACCTCTTACAATCTGATTGGTGCATTCTTAGTTACTATGAAAAAGGGACTGTTAATGCTAATAAATTATAAAGTACAGGCTTTCTGTAGAATTTTCCTGGGAAACCAATTTGTCCTAGAATTGAATACATTTGGTAAAAGTATATTTTTACATTTGTCTCCCTTGTATGGATGTTTGGCAAAGATATTTTTGCAGTACTCATCAGACCTCTTTCTTGGTAAAAACAAAAACAAAAACAAAACTAGCACTTTTAGTTGTTTCAAAACCCTTTAGTTTTTAAGTTCCATCAAGTCAATTGTGACTCATAGCAACCCGGGATAGGCTTTTAAAACCTGGGATGGAATAAATCTTTTTATAGTATTATAATGTTTAACAATAAGTTGCTTATTTTTCATATAACATGTACATTTCAGAATGATACTTATTTTACATTCTTCTTAGGAAAGATCCTTTCATATAGATATAATTTCTTCCCAGAGGATCTCTAAAGACTTGATAGTGTTAGCTACTGAATCCTCATTGTGTGCTATAATTATCCATCACAATTGTGGGGTTAGAGACTGGAACAACTCTAGATATAGAATGAATAACTAAGACTTCCCCAAAACTACCAAGCAATGTGCAATATAATTGAACTTAAGTCCCACAAATATGTAATGCATATTTTATCTATAAAAGTAAATAATCATTATTTGCTATGAAAACTTAGAAATTTGCTAGTTTTTTTGAGTATGATAGTGAAAAGTTGTTTATCATCTGGATCAAAATCTCAATATTCTGATAGGCTTTCTTCTAATAGACTAGTGTAGGCTTCAGCATGCACTTGTTTTAGCCCCATGTATTTAGCAGTTCAAGCTCACCAGCTGTTCCTTGGAAACCCAACACAGAGTCACTGTGGTTTGGAACAGACACGGCAGCACTTAACAACAATAACAATTTTTTAATGGATATTTAAATATCACCTTTATATTTAAATTAACTTATCACCACCAATTATAGAATTGCAGTTATGCAATACACACACACACACATAAATAGCAAGAAAAGAAGGACCCTACACAAAATTGTTCAAATGGGCACCTTTGATGGTTTTCCTATAAAAATGTTATTACCGTCAGAACATTTATTACAGTTTGCAGCATCTTAACCCTGTTAAGACTGAATAATGTTTTGCTTTGATTTTGTGGGTAAAAAAACAGGCACTTTTAGTAATGGAAAACATTTTGAATAAAATAAAAAATAGATTATTTGAGGTGATAAGAATTTTGGTACAATTGGTGGAACACCCATGTTTCAACACATACGGGTTGGTGGCATGAGGCTCGCTTCTTCAGATTCACTCAGTTACACAGTTCCCACCAGATGGCAGCATGCACTAAAACTGGAATAAACCCCAAACCCAAGGCCATCAAGTCCATTCCAATTTGTAGGGATTCTACAGGACAGAGTAAATGTGCCCTGTAGAGTTTACAAGAATGTAAATCTTACCAGGAGTAGAATGTCTTATTTTTTTATGCAGAGCAGCAGGTAGATTTGAACTGCTGGCCTCATGGTTAGCAACCTAGTGCTTAACCCTCTATGCCACTAGGGGTCCTTGACGAAACTACAGAAGCAGAAAATGTAAGTAGGTACTATATGCTTCATGAGCCTGAAAGGGTTGTATATGACTTAATCCAGAAGTTGACATTCTAGCACTATTAGGGGACAGGCATGACATATGAACATGTAAAGCAGGCCAAGGTCAGAAAAATAAAATCGTGAGGACTACAATGAACCGGAGAGGTAGCCCTAAAGAGCACATCCTATACTCAGCTCTAGTTGACTATGGACTAGAAGAAACATTATGGTAGTATGGTTGGATTCGTTGATTCATTTAACAAGTGTTTTTCTGAAACATTTACCATGAGCTGGCACTGCTGTAAAAATTGAATACAATGGAGAAGAAGACAGCAGCAATATAAAATCAGGTAATCAACAAAGAAATATATACTATCCTGTCATATTGTTATTCTTATTAAACACCACTGAGTCAGTTCCAACTCACAGCAACCCTGTATAGGGTTTCTAATACCACTCATCTGTCAGTTTGTGGTATTATGGTGTCTTGTATGTTGCTGTGATTCTGGAACTTGCTCTCCAGCATAGAGATGCTAAAGCAAATGGAAGAAATTAGGAGGTAAAAGAGTTGACCAGAAAATTTCAAAGGGCAGCTCCAGAAGACAAAGGCAAGTATTATAAAGAAATGTGTCAAAACCTGAGTTAGCAAACCAAAAGGGAAAAACACGCTCAGCATTTCTCAAACTGAAAGAACTGTAGAACAAAATTCAAGCATTGAATTGTAACATTGCAGAATTCTATGGGCAAAATTCAAAAATGGGTGTGAAAGTACACTGACAGGGAACTAGAGGTTCAAGCCAGATTCAGATGAGGACGTGGAATAAGTGATATCAGATGAATCCTGACTAAAAACAGAGAATACCAGAAAGATATTTACCAGTGCTTTATTGACTACGCAAAGGCTTTCAATTTTTTGGATCATGACAAGTTATGGACAACATTTTGGAGAATGAGTATTCCAGAACACTTCATTGAATTCATTAGAAACCTATACATAGGCTTAGAGGCAGTCATATGAACAAAACAAGAGGACACTGAGTGGTATGAAATTAGGAAAGATGTGTGCCAGGGTTGTA